AATGGGCAATTATAAAAGTCGTATAAATTATTAGTGTTTATCAAGCAACAGAAACAATTAAGTTTGGCGTACGTGCCGCTTTTAATGTACCTAGCTGGTATTATATCGATCGAAATCATTAATAATAGAAAAAGTGACAACCCCCAGGATAAATTTCAATTTAATGAAAGTATAAGCTAAAATCGTAAACATTTTTATTATGGGAATATAATTTGACATTATTCACATAATTAGCCGATTATCGAATATTACTGGTATTTAATTATTATGTTCACCATGGGTACCCCAAAAATGCAAAACATTCAGTTTTTTTTAATTTATAATAATCTCGATTCTTAAACCAGTAGTTAAAAACGTTCAATGACAATGACCGTAGCCGGACTACCTTTAGGCAACGGCACCTATTAAAGTGAAACAGAACCGAAATTTGTTTAGAATAACCAAGTAAATGGACCCACATAAAAATTCATGGTGCAACAGACTATGAAAATCTATGAGCATAATCCCAAAATATTTTACTTGATCATAAACAAAATCCAAACATTGCAAAATTTGAGTTCTGTATCTTTATCGCACATTTTATTATCGTAGATTATAGGTGTTCCCCCAAATTCAGGAACCAAAAGGTCTTTCTGGGAATCAAAGGTTACAACTTAACGACTATATAACATCTTTAATCCAGTTAAATTTTACATGGTGCATCGTTTTAGCGTGATACGTAGTTTTTAATTTGAACTTGGGCTAATTTTGTGCGCCAACTTGTGCGTCTTATTAATATTAACGAAGATTAATAACAGAAATGTTGAAATTTATTTTTAAATTTGCGGGTAGGTATACCACCGTTTTGTATGCCGCTTTTAATTCTGAACAACTTTAAACTCTACAGTTTTTTTCTGTAAAATGTACAGGAGGGCAGGATATTGCATAAAACTAATTTCCCATGTTAACTCCCTATGTTCCTACTTACCGTGCACCACTTGGTATACGAATATCTTCAAAACATTTTTTTTAAAGAAGCTTTTTTATAGTATCCAAAATTATAAAAAGTTTGCTACCAATCCAAATACTTTAAAATGGTGGTCAGTGGCGTACGTCTGCAAAGTCAAAGGAGGGGGGAATATATATTATAAAAAAATTATTAAAAAAATAGATATACTATATCGAGAGGAGTTTTTTATTACGAAAAAAAAACAAAAATTGGAAACTGTTGGTTTTAGCAGGGTGGTACACCCGCGCATATCGACGTAATCGTGCGAGAATACCTATCGGACAAATTTTCCACTTTCTAGGAAATTTGTTATTATCAGGACAAAGATGATTTTAAAAAGTGCGGAAAAGCGCAAAAGTGTAAAACAAACAGAATTGTGTTGCTCCATCCCTAGATGCATTTTTGGCAGAACACACCTTTTAGAATAAACGATGCAAAAAACTGATATTGAAAACCCGAAGACCCGAATACCCCATTAGCGCCTCTAACCATAGAATTTTGTTAACTGTATAATATCACATAATAAAGTGCTTGTTTATTGCTATACTGTGGAATTTATTGCTTCGTCGCTCAATTTGGTATATTTTCCAAGTTATAAATGGGACAATTAACTGCGCACTTGCAATTAATGTAAAGAGTACATACATGGACCCCCCCCCCCCAAGTTTCCATTTAATTAAACAGTTATATCTTATAGTGGAGCCATTCCACACTTGCAGTTCGATATGCAAATAATAGCAACTTTACTCTTATAAATAGGTGGAACTCCTGGAACTTTAAAACTTTTTGAAATTAGTAATTTATCAATAATTGTTAAGCTAGCACCCTCAATTTAAAAAAATCGCAAAATAAAAAAAAACTAGCAATAAATAAGCCTTGCGTTATAAAATTGAACCAAAATTCGATGGTGAAGGTTGTAAGTTAACGGTATTGTTACCGAGATCTTGATCCGATTATAAAAGGGGCGCACCGCGCAAAGGAATAAACATCCACAAAATCAGAGGACAGATCAGTTTCACTTGACTTCATACTTTAAAATATTATTGGTGTAATATACAGGGTGATCATTTTGCCTGGAACACTGGATATATCTTCAAAACAAGATTTTTTTAGGATACTTTTTATGGGTATCCATAATGATAAAAAGTTTGCTACTAATTTTCGTACTTTAAATTTGTGATTGGTGGCATACTTCTGTAGGTATGGTGAAGGGGAGGTATTTTTTTCAATAGCAACTACTAGTTTTCGTTACATATTCTCAAGGAGTAAACCTTTTTGGATACCTATAGGAACAAAAGTTATTATATATTATAATAAAATGTAAGAGAAAAATTCAAATTAAGGAAAGTCGTTGTGTTTATTGATCTTATTTCACTACTTGCGTTGAAAAAATAACGTTATTCTTTTGTTAGTTAGGTCAAAGCAATTTATTGTATTAAAAATCAAGAAAAATGTATAAGTTAATCAGGAAGTAAATCTATATGCTTAAACATCGTTTACAGTGGCGTGCGTCTACAGAACTAAGACTAAGAGGACCACTTATTTAATGGAAAGCAATATTTTTCGCGAGGTAGTATTAAAGAATGAACCTTATTTTAACATGGCAACAAAAAAACATTCAGACTAGTTCATTATGAAATTAATTAACACACTATTTTTCCTTAATTTGAGTTTTTCTCTTAAATTTAACTATATACCTAGGTAAGTTTTTTATGCTGCTATGTCCAAAAAATATACTTTTTAATCATATGTAACGAAAACTCGTAGTTGCCATTAATAAATATGTCCTCCTTGACCGTGTGTAGAACCATCTCTCAACTATAATTTTGGATACTAACACAAAAAGTTTCTTTTAAAGAAATGATGAAGATCTATTCAGTGTTCCACGTAAAATGTTCACCCTGTGTAAAAACGTAAAAAGTTAGTAGGGGAGCGTATCAAAATAAAACCAAAAGTTAAAAACCTAGATAAAGGGGTTCGGTTAGTTCTATTCTTATGTGTGATGGGTGCTGAAAATATTATTATAGAAGAACCTTGACGTTGTTTAATTCTCTCGCACTGCGCAAATGGAAAAAAGGAGCTTAATTTTGAAATACAATCAAACACTTTCACGAAGTATATGTCTATACCTACGTAGACTGACGCCTGTAGACTGATAGACTCTCGAGTTACTGATTCTGTGTGGGGAAAGTGCACTTTCGTCGATTGAAAGTGACCACGTCTATACTAGTTTCGCTATTTAGTTCGATGTGGTGTATAGTGGTCTTTTCTGCGCTACTTTTTTTTCGCTCCTCGCAGTTTTAAACTTTTGCTGTTTATTGCGTGCTTATAAATCTTATACACCTCTCGCATTTTGATTACTTTATGATTAGCCAAACTCAGTGGCGTAGCATTACAAACTTATAGGAAGGGCGAAACCGAGTCACTACCCTCCCCCCTCCCCAATGTTTGTTTCGCGGTATCGATTAGTCATGGTATGACAGAAAAGAACAGAAACACAATTGAAATTCATTTTTGTTTAAATTTTTATTACCTATAGGTACATTTAGTCCATGGTAAGAGCGGATTGCACCATTGTGGAACCCTTTTGTCTTTGCGCTTTGCCATCCCGGATGGATGGACCCCCTCAGCTTTCGAGCCCGGGGCGGACTGCCCTCCTCCTCCCGTTCGCTACGCCACTGACTGAATTTGATTGGGAAATGATGCTAGGCTGTTATGATCATATATACCCAATATAGAATTCGAAAATTCACTTTCGTTTTCGAGTTATCGCGCGGAAGGATGGACGGACGGATACATCGAAGCCATCAGGAGTGCCTATGCTAATCGCTATTGATCAGCATTACTAACAAACAGCTGATGTCGTGATATGTACCTTACATATTTCTATTTAGTCTCGTATAAGCTTACTTGCCCGATTTAATTTTTGTAGAATCTATAGGTCATTGGGATCATTCTGTCGTTATCTATTGTGTTAGGGCCTAAGTAAACCTGTACGTTACACATTGGCCGAGGGAAATTTATGAAATGTAATATGAAACGTATGTATACACTGTACGGTGTAAAAATAATGTGGAAGAACGGTGACAGTGCACCAGGGACCTATATAGGTACGAATGAATGACCACGTTTGCAATTAAACATTAGTAAAGAACGTCCTGAATGCAAGTATAAAATAACGGGCGATACCTAGGTATATGGGAGCATAGAAAATCCACTAATTCAGTAATATACAGCAACAGTCTAAACTGTAAGCAATAAAAATGCCATTTCTGCAAGCCCTTTGTAATTATACTCGGGTTTTATGCCGGGGTGTATTAGTGAACACTCCTCAAGTTCGCGGGCATATTCGCAATCTTCTATCAAACCAGTCTGTTTTTTGCCCATATATTGTAATTGCCTTATACACATTCGAACCTACATAAAGATTAAAATTATAAGCTCCTTACGTGCCATTTGCACAACTAATAATTTTAATTTAAAAGCCGCGTCAATCATGGCCGTGTTTTCTCACTTTACATTAGGTAATTAATAAATTTCTCTTCGTTTTTCTTGGACGTACCAAGGGTTTTTTTTATGGAAATTTAAATGGTGAGTAACTTTAATCGTTATTGGAACAGAGACGAAAGCGCAGCTGAAATGTGTAAGGCGTGGTGTTTAGATGCGTGTATCCAATCAAACTCACGATCTTGGCATGATCGTAATAAAGTTTTATTAAAAGTAGGACCGTCAGCGCAATCGCTTCATGTACCATTTCAGCTACCCCATACATTTTTTGCCGGAAATCACCCCTAACGCCTGATTGCGGCCCGATAAACGTTTCAGCACCAACAACTGGGCTTAAGATTAATTAATTAAAATCATGCGCCAATCAACTTGTAGAAGACGTGCAGACACTACGTTTCCGGTGTTGAATAAACAGAACTATAAAGCTACATAATTATTTAAAAAACAAGGTGCAAATGCTTTCAATTGTTTTCTAGGTACCTATATTAAGAAAATAGGTACGTACCTTTAGGCCTTCTTCGACAAATTTGGTTAAGTTTAGAGCCATTCCTTCCACTTTCGACGATTATTATTAAAGAAGCGATGTGGATGTGACTTTCGGGGGGTGTTATTGTCTTCTCATGTCAGCTAAAATAGAAAATGATTTCTAAAGCTTAACCATTGTTGAAAAAAGAACAATTGAAAGCATTTAAAAGAAATAATATAAGTATTACCTACATTATATCTACCTATACCAATACCTACCACAAGATTCCATTTATACAGCCCAACATTCTTTTATTGGATATTTCTATATTTCAATACAAATAACGTGCATAAAACAATATAATGAATGCATCAGGTAACGTATACATCAAACATCAGTCGGGAATCTTACACGGTGATAAAACGGAACAATAACTTTGAAGGCGTGTATACGGCCGGTGTTTAGCCAATCAAATGCCACGCCTGGCTTGCTTTGTTTTACGACCCCGCTGGAATTAAACCGGCCAAATTTAATTAGGAATAAAACTCGGAAACCATCAGACTGTGACCGACGGGTAAATGATGCTTTTTCTTTGAAGTGCAGCTCACGTGTCCCTCCACATCAAAATCTCCCAGAAAAAGGATTAATTTTCGACAATTCATCGAGTTGCTATAGGATCTCTTAAATGTAAATACCCCCATGTGTTTAAAAGAAAATTATCTAAGATGAATGGGTTTGACAAGAGGTTCTGTCTATTTAAGACATTACGAGACATGTATAAATATGACCAATGCCGATAGTATAATAATGCATTGTAGTAATTCATCCCCTTGAGTGTCATGTCCCTTGTCAAGTCAACTCTAAATTAGGAATTTCTGTTAAGCAGATTGAATACAGAAAAATTACCGTTAGATCCGTTTCGGTGACAAACACGTTTTTCGCCAAAATCATAAATCTTGATGTTCGAAGTCGTTTTCAAAAGACTCGAACGTTCTTTCATGTTTATTAGAGTATTAATTGATTTTACAGTGATTTGACAATTATATGGCGAGGGAGATGAATTATTATTAAATGAATCGTTGTCAAGCTGCAGTAAACAAGGGTTGGGGCAGGGGATTGGTGCTTTAAGTGTCGGCTAACTTGACCCACTTTGAAAATGCTAAAAACTCAAACATAAGGCTAAGACAATAATTAGACGTCAGCCTCTGTGTTTAAGCATTTAATCCAAATAAAAGGAACGATATTATACGTTTAATGTTCTAGGAGAATAACGAATGTACAAGTCGTTTGCACTAAAGCTGAGCTTTGTCACTAATTTGTGAACCGATTTTAAATAGGTTCTTTATTCTCTATCACATGTCCACTCATAAGCGAGAAAGAGATGGTAACAATTTGAAATAGTTCAATTGGTTCACCAACTAGTGACGTAAAGCTCATCTTTAGCGCAAACGACCGTACATATATTGCATAATATGGCAATATATGCTCGATTTTTTTTACCATATCGTATCCTATATACCTAGGTACCTACTTCGAATAACATAATCACAAGTAGACAAATTTTAGAATCGCATCACAAGATTGAAACTTGGTATATACCTATACCAAGCGTCCGTATGGCAAATCTCAATACCTAGGTATGAATTTTCACGCGCAAATCGCTAACAAATGTTCGCCCATTTAAAATGATTTACAGCAAATGCGTTCGACCTTCGATCTCGCAGATGAGGTATACACAATTAAGGTTTCCGACATCTATGCAAAAATCAATCACTTGTAGTTTCCATAATCTACAATATGCTTATAGTTCTCATCATGGATATTATAAACCGCACTATCAAACGTATATTGATTAACCAATACTTATATTGCAATCCCCTAATAGAGCGAGCTAAAGATAAACGTCCAAAAGTTCAGGGCCTATTGTATTTTTCCCCAAAAATGTCCCCTTTCAATTTATGCCGTCTATAAGCTATGAATGAATCCAGACGCAATGGGAATGATTGACTGATAAAATATCTTGCAAAATATAACGGTTTCGGCCAAATACAACGATGTACGACGTACAAAAAAAACAAAAGTTGAAAACTGTTGGTTTGTACAGGATGGTGCACCCGCGCACAACGAAAAAACCAATCACACACATTTACACGTACGATTAAAGCGTTGTGCGCGGATACACCATCCTGTTGAAACAGTTCCCAACTTTTGTTTTTTTCTGTGCCGTACATCGTTGTATATTTGAATTAAAAATGTTAATACAATAGTTCCTACTTTTCTACGAGCCATATAAAAAATTTAACTTATGATGTTTTCTTCGAAACGAAACGTATTTGAAAATTTCCCAACGGAGTCTTGTGGAGCGCAAAAAGTGGCAGTGAGAAAACAACATTCCTAACAGCCTATTGCAATGCCTAACTTAACAAAAATTTTGGAGAAGGAACTCAGGTCCCTTTCCAATTTAGCTTCTGAAGATTTTTCCGGTAGGTACACTCCGGATCCCGACCGTACCTAAGTATCCTAATGCATCTGTATCAAGAGGCGCGGCACGAAATATTATCAAAAAGTTTTTGGAGACTGGTTTTGTTGAAGATATTAAAAAAGAAAAGAAGAAATTTGATGAAGATGACGCTGCAACTGTGCTAGTTAATAATTCGGTACAAAACAATCTCAAATTATCGTTAAGATGATCATTGGAACTGATGGACATAAACAAATCTCATCTTCAGAGAATAATCAATGCTCTCAAAATTTATCCTTAACCTTATAGGTTCCCTGGAATCTGGAGATGTAGCTAAACGTTTAGATTTTTGCTTGTGGTTCGGCGGAAATCATGAACAACTAGTTCTTTTACCGCAACATTGTTTTCTCCGACGCGGCTACATTTTCCAGCCATGACATCGTATCGTCTCAACACGTTATAGGTATTAGAGTGAGCAGAATCCAAATTTTCATATTCTAAGTGGTCGACAATACCGCATGCAAAAGTGAATATCTCGGTGAATATCTATACTGTGCAATGTCCTATTATGGTATCATAAGACAACAGGACAACCCTGATTAGACCATCTGCAATTTTTATTTATGGGGGCGATTGTAAAAAATTGTGTATGCAAATGTTGAAAATTTAAAACAAAAAAATAAGAGACATAGTATACAATCAACTTCAATTGAAGAGATCGGAAACAGTTACTTGCAACTGCGCAGACGAGCAGAATTGTATGTGGAAAAGGGAGGAGAATGGATGGAATAAATTTTTGTTGTGTTGGTTTGTTACTAATTAAATTGTTCTTGTGCTTGTTTATTTGATTCAACCTGTGTTTATTACAAAAGGGGGGCAACTGAGCAAAAATGTTTAGGTACACCAAAAGTGCAAAAGAATTCCAGAATTCCAAAAAATCCATCGGACTTCCAAAACTGCCAAATAATTCCATTGAATGCCCACAACATTCAATTCCAAAGAATTCCAGTGACCTTCAAAAAGAATTCCAATGAGTAAGAATTTTAAGTTGATATTAAAGTTGTCAAAAAAAACAAAAAACTGTTAAAAATAATTGGTATTTGTTTATGATGATTTAATTTTTTTTATAACGTTTAAGGAAAACTCGAGGGAAAAGCGACGGGAAAAGTTTACTTTTGTGGCATCGAGCGGTGGGTGTTGAATATTTCTATATCATAACTGAGAATAAATCAGTAGCTATGCTTCAAGTTCAAAGTCTAAAATCCTACAAATTAAAAAAATTAAAAGTGGTACTTGGTGGATGCCAAGTGAAGTGACTATTTTTCTCTCTTTCGCACTCCTTCGCTCCCTTCTTTTTATCGCGATGTATTATAGAAATAGGTCGATGAGTAATACAAGTAAATACAAGGTGACCATTATGCATGGAATATAGTATATATCTCGGTAAATAACGACTGTATACCTACATCATTTTTTTATCTGAACTTGTTTAACATTTTTCCATAGTAATGGAGCATTCAGTTATTTTTCTATCAAACAAACACATGAGTAACGAAAAACAATTGAATTTCTTTAAATAGCAGTATACCTTTCATTGGGGTTATTTAATAGACATTTTTTTGTCTCTTTTCGATAACGTAACATGTACCGTTATACAAGAAAAAGAATTGTTCACATGGCTCCCTCATAAACCCATGAAAATTGCCTTTGCTCGTATAATAAGAAATGCACCAAATTATGCTTTTAATGTGTATAGTGCGCTTTAAATAGATCGCCATTCCGCATAACGTCTCCTGGCGGTTGAGATGAAAACTTTATTATGCGGATCACTCTGTAATTGAGCGTAAGCCTGTTGAGGGACTAGAACAAGAGGGACTAAAAAAATCAATAAAAGTACCTAAGCAACAACCTAAACCACAGCTTGTAAAAATACTTAGAATTCCAAGTGAAATCCATAATATGTAATTAATTAATGTAAAGTCGAATCCAAGGACATACAATTTTAATAAGCTATACAGAATTCGCAGCAGCCAAAGTACTTTAAGGGACTAAAGAATTAAAAGAAAATAAAAAATTCGTAGAATTTGGTGGAATTTAAAGAATCTCGAGTATCTCGAGGAATCTAATGAATTCTGAGATACAAATGGACCTAAACTATAGGAAGAATTTGAAAAAAAAATATTTTTTCTATTTCGGTGTCACAATGATGATTTTGTACAACTGTTTTCGGCCGAAAACAGTTGTACAAAGACAGTGATTGTAGTCGTTTTTTTTTGGTAACTCATCTCTTAAGTTGGCAGTTACTAGTTAGTACAGCAGGTAGGTACTTCGTTGGGTACTTCCATGATTGAACTTCAAAATGTCAGTCTTACTACGCTGCCAACCTAAAACTTAACGGCATAAAAAGTGTTCCCAACATAAAACATGTTAGTTCTAATGTTCCCTATAGTTTCTGATAATGATTTTTTTAATTAAATTAAAGCACCGAAATAGAAAAAATAGTATGAAAAACGCGTGTTACAATGCTTTATTGTAATACTCCTATCTTGCGGACACTCGTGGCTACGCTTCGCGTCGCCACTCGTGCCACAAGATAGTCGTATTACAATAGGTCGCATTGTAACACTTGTCTTGCAATATACTATTGTGCGTCTTTATTCTATATATGGTTAGGCAGCCTTTACGCCTACAAATATGTTG